GTGTCCATAGAGCAAGGATTGGTGCGGAGATGAAGGCTTCTCGAAGGGTGTCAAATGCTTTCTGTTGAGTGTCGGTCCAGGTAAAGCTGGTATCTTTCTTGGTCAAATCATTCAGAGGTTGTGCTATTCTGGCAAAGTTCCGGATAAAGCGTTGGTAGAAGTTTGCAAATCCCAAGAACCCTTGTAGTTCCTGAAGGTTAGTAGGGACTGGCCAGTCATGAACAGCCGCTACTTTTACCAGATCCATCCTCACCTCCCCTTCTGAGATGATGAGTCCGAGGTATTCAATCTGTTGTTGTTCAAATTCGCATTTTTCGGGTCGTAGGTAGAGGTCGTGCTTTTCTAACCGAGTTAATACTTCCCATACCATTTGTCGGTGTTCCTCGAGATCGTTACTGAAGATAAGGATATCATGTAGGTAGACTGCCACCTTGCCAGCTGCAATGAGATCAGCAAATATAGCGTTCATAAGTGCTTGGAATGTGGCAGGGGAATTCGTCAGACCAAAGAACATAACCTTAGGCTCAAACAAGCCTCGGGTTGTTGCGAATGCGCCTTTCCATTCATGCCCCTTCTTAATTCGTATGTTATTGTGGCCCCAGCGAACGTCAAACTTTGTGAAGTATCTTGCTCCCTGAAGTCGGCTAATGATGTCAGCAACTAATGGGAGAGGGTATCGGTTCTTCACAGTATACTCATTCAGTTTCCGGTAGTCTTGTACAAAACGGAGTTTCCCATCCTTCTTCTTTACAAAGAAGACCGGTGATGAGATTGGTGATTTTGAGGGGACAATATAGCCTTTCCGTAAGTTTTCTTCTAGGAAGCGGTCGAGTTCCTCCTGCTCGTTCAGGGACATTGGGTAGATCTTGGTTCGCATGGTCGCCGGTGCCCCAGGTACCAAGTCAATAGCGTGATCCCGGGGTTGATGAGCAGGTAAGCGTTCAGAGGCAGATTTGGAGAAGACTTTTTGAAGTCTCGGTACTGCTCAGGGACCATCTCTTCAAAGGTTCTAATGGGTTTGTCGCGGTTAGCCTCTTCTGCTAGTTGTTGAGAATAGGTAAACCCTGCTGAGCACCATACTTCTTCTGTCTGCTCCTCCAAAATACCAGCTTTTACCCATGCCCGACGTGTTTTGTGATTGGCTCGGATTCGGTGTATTGGGGATTCTCCTGTTGTGGTTGTGGCTTCGTTCTCCTCCAGACCCATCTCGGTGTGAGTGGGTTCGCACTGGGGTCCTTTGATTAAGAATTCCCGGGTCAGGCTATTAATGGTAGATGCTACTAGGTGAGGATGTGAAGTCTGCTCATCTTCGACTTCCTCTATATCTACCCAAGGTGGTTTCACTGAAAGCCGTCCTTTCTCCCAGTCAATTTCTGGATTTACCTTCCATAGCCAGGAGAGTCCCAGGATAATATCCTCTCCTCCTAAGCTTGTAATCAGGAAATCCATCCATCGCTCCTGGTTATCTACGGTAAGTGCTAGGCGTGCGAAGTGGGTAATCCATCCTGCTTGATTAGGTGTACCGTCGATATTGAATACATCAATTGGTTTATGGAGGGGTGCATATGTTACATGGTTTCGGGTGGCAAAGTCTTGGTTTAAAAACAAGGCGGTAGCTCCACAGTCTACCATGGCTGCAGTTGTTATACTATGGTTCCTTCTTCTTAGTCTCGCATGAATTCGGAAATGTGGGGAGCTGGAGTTTAATTCCCAGATCGAAGATATTGTACATGATGAGAGTGAGTCATACGAAGAGGTAGCAAACATAGTAAACTGATTACGGGGTACTCTCGGTGCGGCCGAAGCGGGTACCCTCTTTAAAAACCCTGCTGAGAACCGGAGGACGAAGGGGACATGGCATTAGCACGGTCTAGCAATTCCCTTATTTGACCAATCTGGGCGGAAAAGTCTTGATTAGTGGGGTTTAATGTAGCAGGTACAGTTGCTGGGACTGAGGCGGCAATCTGAACCAATTCGTTTGGGAATAAGGTGAATGGTGCTGCCATCGTGGCTGAGATCTGCTGACGTCGGCCACGGTTCCATCCAAGTCCCATGAACTTTTCCTGACAGACGGATTCTAAATGACCTCGACATCTGCAGTATCGGCAGGTGGTTTCCTTATGTGGGCAGTTCTGCTTAATATGACCTTGAGCTCCGCAACCAAAACATCGTCCGCGCATACGGGCAAGGAAGGCCTCCCTGCTATTCCCGGTGCTGGTGTGAGTAGCGTCAATGTCCATGGCATGAGGGTCAGCAGGAGTGGTGTGAGCAGTGTGTACGGGGACGTGTCCAGTGTTTCGGCCAGTCATGGTGGGATCATGCAGGTAGACGTCCACTGATATTGCCCGTTTGATTGCCTCTTTCAAAGTTGGAGCGATTCCTTGGGCGATGTTTATAATGATAAGATGTTGTTGGATTTCTGGAAGTAAGGCAGTGAAGAAGCATTCCCGCAAATCAATATCAGACATTTCAGTCCGATCTCCGATATCCTTGAACTTCTGGGCAAATTCTGCAACTGTCTGCCCTTTACTTTGCCTGAGATTCTTGATCTCACTACGGGCTTCCATACCTGGGTCCATTGGTTCAAACTGTTGGCCAAATTCCTTCAGGAACGTATCCCAATTTGCTCCGAAAGGGGGGTTTTCTGCACTGAAATGTAGCAGATGGGGGGTTGCCCAATCTCCAGCGCTTTCTGTGAAGAAGCCCAAGGCAGACTTGATAAGTTTTACTTGGCTTTTGGCGAGATCAGGTTGTTCTGATGCCCAATTTTGGAACTGAGCCATGAAACAATGAGCTTCAGCGCCATCTTTACCCTTGAAAACCTCAGGTTTATTCATGCTTGACTTGGAGGATGAACGTTCTTCCATGGCTGTAGTAAGGCTGGCTACTTGTCTGATGAGCTGAGCCATGAGATCCTCAGCAGAGGTATTTGGGACAGGCGGGACCGGAGTCGACATAGTAGGAGTAGGTGATCGGGGATGAGGAATTGGCAAGAAGGTGGTATCTTCTACAGTAATCGGGTTCTGAACTGAATTGGAGAGCGCGTGGGGGCAAGGCTGAGAGTCACAGTCGTACCAGCTATCACCAATATGGTGGACGTGATGCTGATCTCTGGGGTCGAGTGTGTGTTGGAGAGCAGAGCAATTGGTTGTAGCGGTATGATCAGAAAGATCTACGGGTGTAGAAGACGTGATGTATGCGGATCCTGCAAGAACAACCTTATCGGTAGGCTGTCAGTGCAGTAATGGATCTTGACCTAATGTCATGAAGCGGCAGAGGCGGAGTAACTTAGCAAAGCAGGAGAGCGGAGTAACTAAGCAAGGCGGTGAGGCAGAGCGACTAAGCAGGTCAATGAGGCGGAGCGACTAAGCAGAGCGGAGGCAAACTGGTCCCAGATAATGACAGAGATATATTGAGTATCGTAGTCATCGGTAGTAGTAAGTAAGCACATACCTGGTTCCAGATAATGAAAGAGAGGTCAAGATAAGGGACCAGGCTGTGGAGGGTTGGCTATATATACATAATCTGGTCTGCGAGAAACAACAATGTAATACTGTACAGTTCAGGGCAAGGAAGGTGGCGGAGGCCGGTAGAAAGAGAAGATGGGTCAGGTGAATCAGTAATCGGTGGGGGTTTGACAGTGATGGGATGATGTATCATACAAGTAAAGGCGTCAAGACGGTGAGAAAAGGAAAATGATAGGGGCTGCGTACTTTATGACAGGAACCATGGTAGCGTACAGGCAGTATTTATATCTACAGATTGGCGTATCGGTGTGGATTGCCAGACTAACTACTAGGAGCTATATGTGTAGTACCTGCAGGGTAAGGAATAAGACAATAGAGGAAAGGATAAGACAATAACAGAGAGCCTAAGCAGAAAGGGAATGTGTAGTGCGAAAGAACAATAAGGATGAAAGGCTTTCCGGATGAGGGACATATGCTAAATCAATTCTGATATTCTCGGAATTAACTCCAGAGGTCCGGAGTATTGTTATCTTTCAATCTAATCATTCAGCTCTATTGCAATGTCATACAAAGATGAAGCTCGGAACACTTTAATCCTGCAGATATTGTCACAGTCCAAGTCAAACACAAGTGTGGGTTTTAGTATTAGAGCTTTATTACTTGGAAATACAACTGTATTATGCTATGAAGACCCACTTAAGTGTCATTCAGATGCAATCACTGTGTAGTTCTGTGTGTTTTCTCTGAATACAATGTACTGTTCAGTCTCAGCATTACTGATAGTACTTTACAGTTGAAAATGCATGATTACTGCATTATAGACTCAAATAAAAATGGGTCATATCAACGTCCCGAGATCTTACAGCACACCAGCCCTCATTTGTCATAATGTGTTCCTAGTCTCAGTTCAACTTCTCATGCCAGTTATTATCCTAGGGACCTCCCTGAACCTCTCAGGAACCTCCTCAAGGGTCATACTTAATGTCCTCGTACTTCTATTAGGTCATTCCAGTCCTTGGTTGCAGTTCCCATAGCTCCCTTCAAGCTCCAGCTTGCTCCTAGCACACTACAACATAAACTACCAATACTTACTACACCTACAAGACCCGATCTGACCCAGGTCTTACAATACTTTCTTCACCATGTGTTGTGGTTTTCCCTTCTCATCAATATAGCCAAATAGTGAGAAATCCCCTGGTATATCTGTATTCTTTACTTGGTGTCTTTGGAGGGTTTTGTATGGGCACATGAACTCCATGTTGTCATCCAGGGGGCTGGTGACAACTACAGAGGCACCTTTTTCTTTTGTAGTCTTTGTACATGGAATGTGGAAGTGGATTGAAGTTGGTTTGAAATTGAAAGTGATATTGCTGGCATTTCAGGTAACATGGAATTTTGGATCAAAAGTGTTCTGTGATGGGATGGTTAGTTCTCCCAGCTGTCAACATGCAAGGAATGTGGTGCAAGCAAGAGCCCAGACAGCACAGTGAAAGTGGGTGGAAAAATCGAGTGCTTTGAACAAGGCTTTCTGATGGTAATGGGGTGCCACGGAGGTGGTTTGTGGATTGATCCTTCAATGTTAACTCCACATTGAACTTGTCGGATTCTGCGCGAGTCTGCTGGCCAAGGAGCTCCCATCATCTCATGCCATAGTCTCAAACCAGATAACCAGTTTGAGATGGATTTGCCTGAGACTTTTCCTGCATAGTGTCCAATAAACCCAATAATAATAAGTCTATCTGAAGCTGGCATGCGATTATTCTCACTGATGCCCATTAAACCTCTGAATTGGTTGTAGTGGAGTAAGCCTGCAGCACAAACTTCCTTCATTGGCTTTACGGTGCCTTTTGCCATAATTTTGTCACCTAATTCAATGACTTGTGCTGGCAAGGAAGTTGATTTGTCTAGTCTCTTCTGGATTGAGTATGGGGTGTTCCAGGCATAAATATGATCTGTGGCTTGTACATTTGGTCATAGTGGGTTTGGAGTAATTTCACATCCTTTCTTTGGCTTCCAGGTGGTGAGTTTGTGCTCTAGTCATTGGGGCAGTGGGGTGGGCTCATTTTGAATGGGTCAAAAAGGGGTTATGAACAGATAATTTATTAGGGGTGTGTTTTATACTTGAAATTGGTAATCATGGGAGTAATGAGGGCATGGAATACATATGTTGAATTGACAATGTGGTTATGGTCTTGGTCATAACAAAAGGGTCAATGAGAGATGAGAAGGATGCAGTTTGGGAACTTGAGGCACACAGTGCAACAGTTCCCACACTGGGTCTGGCTGGCATTGGTATTCTATTGAAAGGGCTAAACATAAGTGATAATATTATTGAGCTCATCTGGGGGCTGAAATAAAAGAGGTAATTTCTTCTCCTCCAGTCCCAGTATTCTGCACAAAATTGGGTCAGATGGATTCAAAGCAGATTCAATGTATTTTAGTTCAGGTTGTATAAAAAGTGGGCCTAGGATGCCACATGTTAATCCAGTAGTTTGGGCTGCATGCCCATTTGGTGATTCCATTGGCCAAGCACTGTAGTCTGTGCTCTTTGGCTGTTTTGAGACCTTCCAGTACCTGTGCTTCCCGCTGTAAGGCTTTCCAGATGTGATCCTCTAAAGGGTTCTGTCATGCCTTGCTTCTCCGTACCTTTCCCTTTCCTTTCCAGAGCTCTGGTTCATCACTTATACATGTATCCGATATTCTTTGCACCATCCTTACGATCATCATGATACATATTACCTGTCACTCCAGTAGCCACATGACATATGTACCTGACAGCCTCATGTACAGTATATAGGCTGGGGACTCCCCTCGGAGCTCCCAGTGTGTTATTGTCAAATCTTACCTGGAAACTCTTCCCACCTGGCTTGGTCCCTTTAGTACAGTCTACTAGTACTTGCTAACAGGGCCTGACACGTCTCAACTGTCATATATTTCCTCATTATCTGTTTCCTTTATCTCTGTCTCACCTCAACTCTATTTCTCCTCTCTGTTTCCCATCTCTGGCCTCTTTCTGTCAATCCTCATATTGTCTATGCCTCTCCTTCGACTCACCATCTACGTCGAGGCTCTACAATTCGTCCTTCATCCTTTGGAACCTCCCATTAGGTTCCCAATTCCACTTCATTGCTCCCTAAGCTCCCCACAGCTTCCCACTTGTATCGGCTACACCTCCCCTCCACATCGAAGCGGTGGTTACGTGTTACGTTCTACACCTCCAGGACCCTCTATTAGGTCTACCCAAGCTCCACAACTACCCCTGGTTAGGCTCCCTTCACCAGTATCGGCACTATACCATACCTCCTCGTACAGCCTAGGTGGCTACTGCGTTCGCTGAGGCCCAGTCTGGGTAAGACCAGAGCAGGCCTTCTGTGCCGGGGCCTCACAGGTTCCATAGGATAAAGACTGCAATTTTGGTAAAATGGTTGGGCTTAAGGAATGTCTTCTGCCGATTATCCTCATTGTCTAGTACTTGGTGGGCTGCCATACAGGAAAGAGCATCAGCCTGAGTGTTTATTCTACCAGGGTGGTGGATCATATGGAAGTCAAACCATAAAGGGTATAGAGCCCAGCGAGCTTGGCGGTGGGTAAGGTCTTGAGCTGTGCACCAAAATTCAAGGTTAGAGTGATCAGTCATAATGTCAAATGGCTGGGGTAGTCCCTCTGGTCCTTCAACGCTTCTATGATGGCTAGCATTTCCCGGTCGTAGATCTCGTAGTTTTGTTCTGCTGGTTGCATTGAGGCTGATCTAAAGGCAACAGGATGCCATTGGCCATCATGTTGCTTCTGCATGAGGGCACCGCCAGTAGCAAAGCCTGAAGCATCTACCTCGATTCGGGTTGGTTTGTCTGTGTAAGACCTGGGTCAAAATAGGTCTTAGGGTAGGTTTTGGTATAAGGAATTTATGTTGTAGCATGCTAGGAGCAGGCTGGAGCTCGAAGGGAGCTACAGGAACCGCGACCGAGGACAGGAATGACCTAGTAGTGGCTTGAATAGAGAGATGTGACCCTTGAAGGGGTTCCTATAAGGTCCAGGAAGGTCCCTAAAGTGTAGGGAGGGGAGGTAGAAGTACGGAACCTAGTAGTGTTGCATAGTAGGAGTTGTACTCGCTAGAATGTCAGCGTAATATCGAATAGGTCGTAGTGGAAGTGGGTCCCGGGTGTGTAAGCTCTTGAGAAGATATATGCCTGGGAGGGGAGGTCCCGGGAACTGGGGCTTAGAGGTGGATGTCCTCGAGTGTTGGAGGTGGTAACGGAGAAGCAGTATGTAGTTTGACATAAGGGGTAGCTTTGACATTACCAAGACGTTTAGGCATTGGGGAGCTTTAGGATTGTTCGAGGGAGCTTGGAGACTCACTCGGATTGCTTAGACTTGAAGTAAAAGCGTGTATTGGATCGTATAGATGAGAGTAGAGACAACAGACGAGAGTAGAGAGAAACTGAGATAAAGAAACAGAGAGTAAAGAGAAATCCGTATGGTTAGCAGGTACAAACGGACAGGGACTGGACCTATGCAAAAGGGTGTGTGTTCAAAATATACCAAGCTGGGGCTTGGGGGCGTGGCGGAGCTACTGAAATAGGTACAGGAAGTGAACAAGGGGACATCAGGGGCCATGAGGCAGGTAATCGAGATTAGTACTTAATGGGGTTGGTGGTAGGAGGGCTTCTTACACGTGTTGGGGAAGGTTTAGGAGTTACGCGTGTCAAGGAAGGTTTAGTGGAAGTGGGGGAATGATGGTACTGTCTTGGGGAGGTGCCGAGGTGAATCAGAAGTGCGGAGGTGTGAGAGCATGTGGCTAGTACTGGGACTGTCCTGGTGGTCGCCAGGGCATGACATTACCCCCCCTTTAACCCCTTTGTGCCCTCGCAATGGGTAGGCGCGTTTTCTGGGAAGTCACCTGACATTCACGTGGTACCTGAAAATTTTCTTGTCGAAGTCCGTCAGATACTTGCTTTTCCCTCTCTTCCACCACCTCAGTTTTACGAGTCAAAACTGTTCTAACTGCAATGTCCTCTACACCTGCTCGTCCTATTTCTCGCACCACTTATCCTCTGTTACCTACCCTTACCGCTTTGGGGGAGGTACCTTCCCTGGATCCTGAATACAATGGGGAGGTCGAAACGGATCAACTAGCCTTCATCCTGGAGTCACTGTCTCGTCCACAACTCCAGTTGTTCGAGATGGTCTTTAATACTGGCAAGCCGCTATCGGGTTATTGTCAGGACGACCCTTTGTGGCCTCTTTTGGCAGAGGTAGCTTCCCCTTGCTCAAACTGTGTAAAATTTCCGGGTAAATGTAAGGTTCTGCCGAACTCCCCTCGATGTACCAGTTGCTCTGTGAAAGGGGAAGATCCTTTGGTATCAGTATTTCGCTCGTCGCTGCAGTCAAGATATTGCATACAACCATAGGTTTTTGGAGCTCCATGGACCTCCTGCACATCAATCAACGTGGGGTATTCCTTTGAGCACCTGGCGTCAATACGATGCTGCCCTTTATGCTCACACCTCTTCGACCTCCACCCTTCTAGAATTGGACATGCTTGATGAGCAGGATACTGCTGATGCTGACCAGCAAGAGCTGTGGAAGTTCCTCGCTTTGCAACAGGGTGAGGCAGTCGTTGCGGCTAGACGTAAGCGCGACCATTCCCCTTTGCCTGTGGCTGTTAGGATTGATGACTAATTCCAATCCTGACACCCTGATGAGGGGCAAATGCTGATTATACATATCCATATCATCCAAGGCAGAAGACAGTGTAAGACCTAAAAGTGTTGATTGGACTGTCAGTGTCACTATATGCATAAGCCTCATTAGTTGAACCAAGGTCGGATAGCTCAGTTGGTTAGAGCATCTGGAATATAACCAGAAGGTCCTGGGTTCAATCCCCAGTCTGGTCACTTTGTTTTCAGTCATGACTTTAACAGTGGCTGGTCCTTCCAGCAAAAGGGTTCAGTTGGACAGTTCCAAAAAGTGTTCCTGTCGTAGGTCCCCTGTGGAGGAGGCAGCTCAGGAGTCTCCCCGTTGTGTTCGACTGGTGGTTCCTCCAGGTCGGTCAACAGCAGCTTCCACTTCCACTCCTGCTCCCCTTCGCGCCCTTCCCTCCTCCATGGAGGTATGTGTCAGGGATGAACCTGTGCAGGGTTCCAGTGGTTTGGTTCAGTTGGCAGCTGCTGCCGAGGCCCAGTCCAGTGAGGTTCAGCGGTTTGTTTCCCCTCTCCCGGTTACGTCGCCTATAAATGGTACTGGCTCAGACCCCCTTCCTTCCAACATGCTGCCCACTTCGCGTTCGTTATTGGTACCCCGCACCCTCACCGCCCCTCCCTATCGCGCTGAGAATCAGAGTCTGCTTGCTTGGGTCCAGTCACTAGAGTCCCAGCTTGCTGATTCTCAGCAGGAGAATTCTTCCCTAACCACTGCTCTTCGGGACACTTCCCACGCCCTTGATGCTTTTGTCAGCGGGAGGTCGAACAACTTCGGACCTCCAGCCACGAGGTCCTTCAGCACGAAGTCAAGTATCGTAATGTTTTGGACCAGTTCAGTGCACTGGACAGGGCTTTATCGGGGCTTCCTGGTCAGGTAAGTCATGCCTAACTGGTATTCACTTCCTTTTTGATTTGACTTCCTCCTGGTAGACTGTTTTTCAGTGTTTCCAAGCATTGGAGGAGGAGCTTCGTGTTGTGAAAAGGGATCACGACGTCGCCATGGGGAAGCTTTCCACTGCCTCCCGCAAGAGTTCCGAGTTGGAGACAGCTCTAATGTAGCAACAGGGTCTGGTAGACGAGACCAATGCTTTGGCGACCCGTCAGCATCATCATTTGGAGGAGTTACGGGAGGAGGTCCATCGTACTCGTGATCGTGCCACCTTCATAGAACAGATGATCAAGGAGTACCCGGACGAGGGTTTCTATGAGGTGGTTTTACCTCCCTTTCGCAACTGGAGGGAGATCTCAAAAGGGCCAACAAGGACACTCGAC